AAGCGATATCAACTGAATTGAAGCGATATCGCTTAGCACTGTTTCAAATACATACTAAAACTAAATTGACTGATCTGCATTCTACCGACTCAAATCAATTGACTCAATGTTTCATTGATTCACCAATAGCTTAACTAATTAACTGGCTGGACAAATTGTATTGATATCTGATGCCTCACCTCTGGATATTCATCGAAGTTATTACATTATTGTGATGTCAAATTTAGAAATTTCTAGGTATTCTAGGCTTACTTTTTATGAACTTTCCGGTCTTATAACGTCACGAGCCCTCTAGCTAACGTCTAAATTAAAACACTGAAAACATAGCTTACAACATTAAAGCACGCGTAAAAATAACGCGAAGCTTTTTTCCAATAAATATTTATATAAATATGCTACACACACTCACAATAAAGCTGTTGTTTTCTTAAAATGAAAAGAATATAACGTTACAAGTAGTACAACGAAGAGGGGGGTGGGGTGGAGTTGTGTTGGTGACACATTAAGAGAGTCGTTATGTAATCAGTATACAGTTACGAGACCTAAAATACTGATTGTACGAGTAAAATATTATAAAACGTTGTGTAATGTTATTTATAGTAAGTTTCGCTATCCGAGAGGAAGGCGTAAGATACTACATAACCGTATGACGTTTTATGAAGTTAAGCTGTCAGATGTCGCCCATACTTGCTTATAACACTGAAAAAAAAACAGCATAAAACGTAAATCTTTAAGAAGTTTGTTTTTGAATTTCGCGCAAAGCTACACGAGGGCTATCTGCGCTAGCCGTTTCTAATTTAGCAGTGTAAGACTAGATGGAAGGCAGCTAGTCATCACCACCCACCGCCAACTTTTGGGCTACTCTTTTACCAACGAATAGCGAGATTGACCGTCACATTATAATGGCTGAAAGGGCGAGCATGTTTGGTGGGACGTGTTCCACCAGATTAACCTGATGTCATCAGGTATATCAACTACAAGTCATGATGATGTTAGAAAAGTCTTGATAAACCTCACAGATTGTGGTTATATTCGGAATAAGCGATTATACTTGAAATCATGGTTATGTTGATTGAACCGCCATTACATCTTCAAGTGTGAAAGGCAATCTGAGGGTCGCGGGTTCGAATCCCCTGTAACCATATATACAGCGGGAAATCTAAATGCTTATAGGCACTAAAAATCGCTTTCGATACCCGTGGTGGGCACAGCACAAATAGCCCATTGTGTAGCTTTGTAACTAACAACAAACCAATAATAAAATTGTTTTCGGACTTCAAATGCCAATTGGTTTAACTATATCACTCATTCTGCTAGTCTAACAAACTTTAGGTAAGAGAGTTTGATCAGGTTGTTTCATTTTGTACGATAATATGCACTACGCACTGAAGAAAAAAATAAAAAATCGGTAAGTAATTATTATGGTGTACATATCTTTGTAAGCAGACAAGTATCGACATCTACCGACCGTAATTATAAACTATTAATTCACATATTTTTTTATTTTTTTTTAACTCTGTTTACAAACTTCCTTAGTATCGGTTGCTAACTGAAGCTGAAATAACATTTTTCTCGGGGCACAGCCTCAAACGAAAAGCAAAGTTAAATAAGATATAAACGTGTATGTTTTATTTCTATTCAATTAAAAAACAAAACACATTTTCAATACCTGTCACTACACAGTTTGACTTAACACTTGAATTGTATTGGCGAAAAATCAACACTTTCAAAAACTATAGACAATTTCTTACGGGTAAAATTCTGATATCCGATATGAGCACATGTTTTAGTTTTGTTTTTTCTCACCCTGAATGTGTCTGTGGTTTCGTTAAAACTTGATAATGGCCCCCGTAAATTCCTTGTAAAATTAGCCTTACATTTGTTAAAACATCTTCAAGTATCTTGAATATCCCTAAAGCGCGTGAACTTTTCAAAATCGTTATTCTCTTAGTGCAAAGCAATAAAACGGGCTGTCCGCACTCCGTCCACTGCGGACTTCTGCATTGGTAGGGGTCAAAGTTCGCATTCCACGTGGTATTATTAATGTCATGTAGGAATTATCAACTATTCATTTAAAACTGTTGATTTAGTGAATGTTTGTGGTAGAGGAGTGAATACCAAATACAGTATACAGGCATACTGACAAAAAAACATCTGTAGATATGTATTTCAGAGGTTCTAGGGGGTTATACAAACTGTACGGTAGACAACGGTACTTTCATTCTTTAAACAAACATCACCTTACACTCCCACTCGTCAGAATCTGACGTCTCAGTTGACAGATATGTCTTGCGCACAAATTTGTTTGTTTGTTTCAAATTAAGCACAAAGCTACACAATGGGCTATCTGTACTCTGCCCACCACGGGTATCGAAACCCGGTTTCTAGCGTTGTAAATCCGGAGACACACCGCTATGCCACTGGGCGGGGGGGGGGCTTTGCGTACAAATACCTTTGGAACACATCCGATTTTTTTTGTGTACAATTGGCTTCTGCATTTTAGTAAAAGTTTTCCACTTTTTCTTGTAAATTATAGTCAACATTCCTCCTTCAATGCGTTCGTTAATATAAATTATATCCATTTTCGTAATGAACTTTTGTTATATAAATAAAAGCTTTTAGGTTTTATCAAAGGAAAAACGAAAATTGATAGAAGTGGAAGAACAGCAGACAATCAAAATAAATAATACTATTTACACTTGTGAATGTGATATATATTACCACCTACACTTGTAAATGTGATATATAATACCACCTACACTTGTAAATGTGATATATAATAACACCTACACTTGTAAATGTGATATGTAATACCACCTACACTTGTGAATGTGACATATATTACCACCTACACTTGTAAATGTGATATATAATACCACCTACACTTGTGAATGTGATATATAATACCACCTACACTTGTGAATGTGATATATAATACCACCTACACTTGTGAATGT